GCGTCATATGACATCCTTCCAGAACGCGCCCTCCCCATGTGATGTGCCCCCAGTGGTGTGCACCCGGCGTTGTCAGTGATCGCTGTGTCCTATGGACACAGGTGATCACATGACTAGGTAAAATGCTAATCACAGTGGCCTTTACCACATACTCAGCTGTGTCCAATGACACAGCTAATCACAAAGTAAATACAGTTGCTGGTTATCAGCAGCACTTTCCTCACGCTGTCACAGCGTGAGAAAAGTACTGCCGATAACTGGCACATGCCACAGAGCAGATCTGAACTGATAATCAGGGCACTGATTAACAGTGCCGCCCATCATTGGTGCCTATCAGTGCCCATCATTGCTGCATATCAGTGCAGCATCATCAGTGCCTCATCAATGCCCAACAGTGCCGCCTCATCAATGCAGCCTATCAGTGCCCAGCAGTGCTGCCTATCACTACCCAACAGTGCTGCCTCATCAATGCACATTAGTGAAGGAGAAAAATTACCTGTATGCAAAATTTTATAAAAGAAACAAAGAAAAACTTTTTTTTTTCAAATTTTCTGCTCTTTTTTTGTTTATAGCGCAAAAAATAAAAACCCCAGTGGTGACTAAATACCACCAAATGAAAGCTCTATTTGTGTGAAAAATATGAGCACAATGTTGCTGAAAATTGGCTGGGGCAGGAAGGGGATAAAAGTGGTTAAAACATTGTGTTTTGTGTGTGATTTACATGCATTCCCTCTGATTCCTCCTGTATTGAATTGTGCTGTAACTGTACTGTCTACCCTCATGTTGTAAAGTGCTGTGCAAACTGTTGGCACTATATAAATTCCTATAATAATTAGAATTCCTGCACAGATGTGAACCTAGCTTAATACAAGCAGAAGCCTATGTAAAACTAGCCTAAAGGCAGGCTAAACTCATCACTTTTTCTGCTTCTCAAACTAGTTACTTTTAAGACATGCCGTGAATGATAACTGTCACATTTGCTTGTGTACTTAATCAACTGTCAAGCCATCAAATGGACAGGGGTCATATCTGATCACATGTATGGCTAAGTGGTTAGCACTTCTGTCTAGCAACACTATGTGACGGGAGTCACTCTGGGTGGGGGGCCCATGGAACCCAGCTGACTTTGGAGAGGTGGGGAGACCCCTGTTTTAGCTCCCCATATCCCTCTTATGTGTAAATCACCCTGTGCCTGTTTAGGGGTACAGGGTGATCTGTCCTAATATCGTGTGGGCTTTGTCTCAGACTGTGTAGACATGTTTAGGAGATAGATGGGGTGGGGGTTTTTGATTGTTTAATGTTATGTGGCTGCATCCCATTGTTCTAGTGTCTGTCTGGCTTGGGAGCAAACTATTATGGGATGTATGTGTTTATGTGTTTTAGCTTAGTGGGGGGGTGTCTCCAGCAGCCCTCCCTCATGATGGGACTGTCTGCTGGTGTGAAGTTTGAATACCTGTGTCTCTTGTTACTAAATGTAGATTGCTCCGCCCTATGTCCTTATGCAGGGAGGGGGGATTGTCCCCTGAGTGTATATATCTTGTATCTGTGTTCAAATAAAGTTGTCTACCTCTGGTTTACTTCAAATCTGGTGTCGTCTGGATCCTGGTGGGGTAACAATAGCCAGATCCACTGGTCTTGTGTTCCAGAGCCTGAGAAGCAGCTTCTTGACGGAGATACCCAGTCGTGGGTGTCTGGGGTCCATTACACACTAGGGTCGTCGAATCGTAATCCCAACCATGACACTACCTGCCTGGAGTTTGCATGTTCTCCCTGTGCCTGTGTGAGTGTGGGTTTCCTCTCACAATCCAAAAACATGCTGGTCGGTTGTCTCCTGTCTAAATTGGCCCTAGTATACTGTATGTACATGAATGTGAGTTAATTAACTTAGATTGCAAGCTCCTCAAGGGAAGGGACTGATGTGAATGTACAATATAAATGTAAAGCACTGCGTAAATTGACAGCGCTGAAATAATAAGTTGCTGTAATAATAATAATAATGTGCATCATCATGGCAACTGCTGATCTAACAGAGGCTAAGATGGCAGCTTCCTTGGCTATAAAGGGTTTAGTTCTGCTGGATCCATCTTGTTAGTTTCTCAGACAGATCCAGACTGACTGTCTATGGGCAGTTTACGTCTGTTGAAATTTGAGTCAGTTTATGTCCACAGAAAAAAAACCTGAAAAAGGTACTCATCCTGTTCCATTTTTCAGGACGTTAATGGATGTCACCGGTGTATGTCCATTTTTATGCATATTTTTTGTTTATACCTTTTTTATCAACAACTAAAATAAACAAACATAGAAAAACGGATGCAAAAAAATAGACAGAAGAATGTGCAAACCAATTGTAACACCCTCCTGGTCAGCTAGAGAGAGATAGACTCCAATTGTTAGTAAGGAGGCTTGAGTTGCAGCCTCTGTGTGATAGCTAGCAGGGGTTTAAATTATGGTCAGAGCTGGGGGGGCTCTGCAGACCAGTCCTCTGGTATTTCCCCCTGCTCTAGAACTTGGAGAAAGATCTAGAAACAGTGGGCGGATCTGACGAGTGGCTGGTCTATCCTGACCAATCCCCAACAGGAGGTATGGCAAGGGAACAACCTTTAAGAGTAACTGAGCCTGATCGGCTGTAGGAGAGTTTGGATTGAAGATAGAAGATAGAGAGTAGTGGTGAACCAAAATGAAAATTCTGGTGCCGAAACCAAAAATTCAAAATGCGCTTGGCCGAAAACCAAAACGCAGTTTTTTTAAAAATAAATATATATTTTTGGAAAAAAATACACTTTGATTAAAAAAAAACCCAATATATACCCCAATTTTTAGTAAAATATGAAAGAGGATGTCACGGCAAGTAAATAGATACTCATGTCACGCTTTAAAATTGCGCACACTCGTGGAATGGCTTGAAACTGTGGTACCTAAAAATCTCCATGGGTGATGCTTTAAAAATGTCTACAGGTTAGCAGTGTAAAGTTACAGCGGAGGTCTAGTGCGAGAATTATTGCTCTTGCTCTGACGATCGTGGTGATACCTCACGTGTATGGTTTGAACACCATTTACACATGTGGGAATGGCCTATGTATGTGTTCACCAGAAAGTGTGAGCATGGAGGCACTTTAAACTTTATTTATTTTTTTGCACTGTCCCTTTAACCACTCACCTACAGGGCATTTATACCCTCTTCCTGCCCAGGCCAATTTTCAGCTTTCAGTGCTATTACACTTTGAATGACAATTGCGCGGTCATGCAACACTGTACCCATATGAAATTGTTCTCATTTTTTTGAGACAGATAGAGCTTTCTTTTGGTAGTATTTAATCACCTCCTGTGTTTTTTATTTTTTTTGCTAACCAAACAAAAAACCACAGAAAATTTTGAAAAAAAAAAAGTTTTTTCTTAGTTTCGGTTATAAACTTTTGTAAATAAGTGATTTTTTCTCCTTCACTGATGGGCACTAATAGGCTGCACTAATGGGCACTGATGAGGAGGCACTGATGGGCATTGATGGGCATCACTGATGGGCACTGAAAGGCAGCACTCATATATGGCACTATTAAGCGGCACTGACTGGCACTGTTAGGCAGCACTGATGCGCACTCATAGGCAGCACTGATAGGCAGCACTGACTGGCACTGATAGGTGGCACTGATTGGAAGCACTGATAGGTGGCACTGAAGGGCAGCTCAGATGGGCACTGATATGTGGCATTGATGTGCACTGGTAGGCACTGATATGTGGCATTGATGTGCACTGAGAGTTGGCATTGATGGACACTGACAGGTGGCACTGCTGGGGCCACACTGATCATCAGGGCACACTGATCATCAGTGACCTGATGATTAGTGTACATGTCCCCTCTGAGGAATGCCAATTACCGGCTCTCCTCTCCTCACGAAGAGAAATGCCGATAACCGGCATTTCCCTATTTACATGTGATCAGCTGTGATTGGACACAGCTGATTATATGAGAGAGCTGATGTCTTCAGCTCTTTCCATTGGTCGGTGATCCGCTGTGTCCGAGGGACACAGTGCACCACCGATTGCCGCGCTGCGCGTCCCCGGGAGCCGCGTACGCGCAGTTAGAGTGGGAGGAAGTTATATGACATCCTCTCAGAATGAGAGAACCGCCTTGCGCCCATCATTTCCTTATATGGCGGGCAGGAGGCGGTTAAAAAGCATTTTTAATCACTTTTATTCTTATCACAAGAAATGCATGCATCCCTTGTGATAGAAATAATGTGACAAGTCCTCTTTATGGAGAGATATGGGGTCAATGAGACCCCACATCTGTTCTCTACAATGTAAAGCATTAGATCAAAAAGAAGCATTGATCTAGTGCTTTAAACCACTTGCCTACCAGGCACTTATACCCCCTTCCTTACCAGGCCAATATTCAGCTTTCAGCACTGCCGCACTTTGATTGACAATTGCGCAGTCATGCAACATTGTACCCATATGAAATTTTGATCATTTTTTTTCTCACAAATAGAGCTTTCTTTTGGTGGTATTTAATCGCCACTGGGCGCTTTACTTTTTGCGCTATAAAAAAAAAAAGTGCAAAAAATTTGAAAAAAAAAAAAAAAAGTTTATTTGGTTTCTTTTATAAAATTTTTCAAACGGGTATTTTTTCTCCTTTCACTGATGTGCATTGATGAGGCAGCACTGATGGGCACTGATAGGCGGCACTGTTGGGCACTGATAGGCAGCACTGTTGGGCACTGATAGGCAGCACTAAAGGGCACTGATAGGCAGCACTAAAGGGCACTGATAGGCAGTTCTAATGAGGTGGCACGGATAGGCGGCACTGATAGACAGCACTAATTAGGGGTCACGGATAGGCGGCACTGATATGCAGCACTGATAGGCGGCACTGATAGGTGACACTGATGATGGGTACTGATAGACGGCACTGACTGGCATCACTGCTGGGCACTGACTGGCACAACCCCTGGGCACTGACTGGTGGCACTGACTGGCAGCACTGCTGGGCTGCACTGGTGGGTGGGCACAGGTGGGTGGCACTGGGGGCACAGGTGGGTGGCACTGGTGGGCACAGGTGGGTGGCACTGCTGGGCACATGTAGGTGGCACTTCTGGGCACAGGTAGGTGGCACTTCTGGGCACAGGTAGGTGGCACTGCAGAGTGGCACAGGTGGGTGCACTGCTGGGCACGGGTGGGCGGAGCTAGTGGATGCACTGCTGGGCGGAACTTGCGGGTCTCACTGCTGGGCACCGATCATCAGGGCACTGATCATCAGTGCCCTGATGATCGGTGCCGATCCCCGCTCTGACAACTGCCGGTTTCTCGGCAGTACTTTCCTCACGATCTGACAGCGTGAGGAAAGTGCAGCCGAGAACCGGCACTTGCATTTCCCTGTGATCAGCGTGTCATTGGACACCGCTGATCACGTGGTAAAAGGCCGGTATGATCGGCCTTTTACCACATCTCGTGATCAGCTGTGTCCGTAGGACACAGCGATCACAGAGATCGCCCGGGTGCGCGCCCCCTGGGGCGCGCAGGAGAGAGTAACGTGTTCTGGGGGGACGTCATATGACGTCCACCCAGAACTGGCCGGCCGCAGTGCAGCCGTCATTCGGCTATCTGCGGTCGGCAGGTGGTTAAAAAATAAAAAAATGGCCAGAGTCTGAAGGGACATCGCTCCGGTCCTCCAAGGGCATAGAGATGAGTGGAGGCCATCTTTCCTTCACTCATCTCTATGCCCAGCGCTGGGATCGCTTGATGGTTTCTCAGGTAAGGCTGAGAATTACCGAGCGGCAGCCAGTGGCGGGGTTTTTTTCGGAACCTGTATTGGTGCATTTTTCATATCGGCCGAAAAGGGTGTTTTCGGCCAAAACGTACGTTTCAGCCACCAAAATTTCAGTGCATTCCTAATTGAAAGGATGTGAGGCTGGAGAGAGGAGCCTGGGAGGGGGCCCAGATGGAGAGGGGCTCACCTACAGGTAGTGGAGCTTGGAAGGAGGAAAGCTTAGACCTTGACCGGCCCCCAGGGCGAGGAGCACCTGTGCAGCAGGGAAGGAGAGGCCCAGCTAGAAGGCCTGGTAGCAGCCACCAACCGCACAGAAGGACTGAGTGAGGAAACCTGCACCCCCTGGGCCAGATGGGGGAAGGAGGCACTCTAGCAGGAAGCTGGATTAGCCTGTCACCTAGGACTATTTCAGTAAATTTGTGGACCACCTTGGATCCCCTGCTCAGGGATTCTTCCAGACAGCTGTGTAAGAAGAGCAGTTATCAGGGGTCTGCGGTGGTACTACAGAAGACCCTCACTAGCTCCTCAGAAGAGATTGTTTTCTTGTAAAGACTTGTAAATAGTTCTAGGAAGTTGTCCTCGGTTCCACTAGGCACCCCATACACCCCTTACCCCATTCAAGTTGGAATCCCCCTAATAAAATCCACAAAAGCTCAAAGACTGGTTACTGACTCCTGGACGCAAGTTGGTGTGGAAATGTGTGTTGCCTGGCTGTGTGCTATAGGAGGACCCAAATACTCAGCAACTCCTAAGGGGGTAGTGCTTCACAATGTAACCTGAATCAGCAATCAGTTTGTTTTTCTTAAAGAGAACACCGTGACTGAACTGACAATGTGTGGAAGTAGCTGGGACAGGGTGAGGATAACCCTCAGCCCTAGAGGCTCCACCTCTACAGCCAAGTCAGGACCGGCAGCTCCTTCAGTTTACTCCTCACGTCATTGGTCCTCCAGGAATGTAACACTTCCTGTCCTCACCTTTTCTGAGGCCCCGCCCTCTCTGTCAGCGCCCCACACCCAGCCGGCAATCAGGAGCAGCGGCACCATGACAGAAGGCAGGTCGCCTACGGTAAGACCACCCCTAGCAACCAATCAGCTACTCGCTCCTGCTGTATCCACGCCCTGATGACTGAAGAGGCGGGGCAAGATTGGTTACCGGGGGAATGCGCACAGCCCGGGCGTCGCTCTTTCTTTTAGCCTGAAGCACGTGACCTCGTGCTCGCGCCTCAGGTCCCTCCCGTTGCGGTTAGCGCTCGTCCCTGTCGGCTCCGCCCGCACTTCTGAGTCGCTGGGAGCGCGCCGGGAAACCCCGTGCAAGCGCCGCCGCCATCTTGGAGAGAGAGAGAGCGGAACCCCCGACACCCGCCGCACACACCCGGCCAGAGGAGGAAGAGAAGGGGGTACCTCTCCAACAGGTGAGAGACGGGCGGTACACCTGCATCTGAGCTGGGCTTTCCTGTGCACTCCCGGGACCGCGTCACTTTGTACATTCAGCAGCATCCGGGTCGCTGCAGTCACAATCCAGCCCTGACACCCTCCTATGCCTGCTTCCCCGGGTCATGTCATCCTTCTCGCCTCAGATCTGCCCCTCTGTTGTCAGTCTCCCCCAGAGGGATTAGTTACCCGAATAGTAGACTCCAGATTGGGCCCAGCCTTCCGGTACATACCTGTCACCCCCACAGTACACCCCAGATTAGACTTTGCCCCCCTGTACATCCCTGTCACCCCCATAGTACACCCCAGATTGGACTCGGCCCCCCGTACATCCCTGTCACCCCCACAGTACACCCCAGATTGGACTCGGCCCCCTATACAGCCCTGTCACCCCCATAGTGCACCCCACATTGGACTCGGCCCCCCTGTACATCCCTGTTATCCCTATAGTACACCCCAGATTGGACTCGGCCCCCCTGTCATCCCTATAGTACACCCCAGATTGGACTTGGGGGGGGGGGGGGCCCTGTACATCCCTGTCACCCCCCCCCCCCAGATTGGAGTCATTCCTTTAACACACCACAGATTGGAGTCAGCCCCCTATACATCCCTGTCACCCCCCCTAGTGCCCCCCATGTACATCCCTGTCACCCCCACAGTACGCCCCAAATTGGACTGAGGCCCCCCCCCATGTACATCCCTGTCACCCCCCCCCCCCCCAGATGGAGTCAAACACACCCAGATTGGACCCAGCCCCCCTGTACATCCCTGTCACCTGCCCCCAAGATTGGACCCAGCCCCCCATGTACATCCCTGTCACCCCCAATAGTACGTGCCCCAAATTGGACTGAGGCCCCCCTGTACATCCTTGTCACCCAATAGTGTGCTCCTGATTGGACTCAGCCCCCTGTACAGCCCTGTCACCCATAGTATGTGCTCCAGATTGGACCCAGCCCCCCTGTACAGCCTTGTCACCCTGCAGTGTGCTCCAAGATTGGACCCAGCCCCCTGTACAGCCTTGTCACCCAATAGTGTGCTCCAGATTGGACCCAGCCCCCCTGTACAGCCTTGTCACCCAATAGTGTGCTCCAGATTGGACTCAGCCCCTCTGTACAGCCTTGTCACCCAATAGTGTGCTCCAGATTGGACTCAGCCCCTCTGTACAGCCTTGTCACCCAAATAGTGTGCTCCAGATTGGACTCAGCCCCTCTGTACAGCCTTGTCACCCAATAGTGTGCTCCAGATTGGACCCAGCCCCCTGTACAGCCTTGTCACCCAATAGTGCGCTCCAGATTGGACTCAGCCCCCCTGGCTGCCTTATTACTCTGGGTTGGGGTTACACCAATTAGTTACTCCTGACACCGTCCATTGTGTTACAGGGCCGCCAATCTATGCCAGAATCTTCTCTGGTAGAGCCCTCCATTCAGCCCCTCCTGTATATCCCATTGTTTCCTGTCACCTTCGAAACACCTCTAAACCTAATCTAGGATTTTTGGGGGAGGGGGTGTAGGAAACATTGCTATCTCTGTGCACTATGACTACCCAGGGACCCCCCCCCTCCTAATGTCACACTGACCCCCTCCTCTAACACCACCCTAGTGACACCGATTAGTCTTCACATTATGACCACCCACCATAACCCATTGAGACATGGACTCCACTAGACCTCTGATGGTATGCTGTAGTATCTGACACATACCTGTTAGTAGCAGATTCTTCAAGTTTTTGTAAGTTGGGAGGTGAGGTTTCATGGATCGGACTTCTTGTTCCAGCACATCCCATAGATGCTCGATTGGACTGAGATCCGGAGGCCAAGTTAACACCTCAAACTCATTGTGTTCTTCAAACTGTTCTTCATTTCATCAGACCAGGCCATCTTCTTCCATTGCTCTGTGGTCCAGTTCTGTTGCTCATGTGCCCATTGTAGGTGCTTATGACTGTGGACAAAGATTGGTATGGGCACCCTGACCGGTCTGCAGCTACACAGCCCCATTCACAATGACCTGTGATGCACCGTGTGTTCTGAGACCTTTCTATCAGAATCAGCATTAACTTTTTCAGCTCTAGTAGCTCTTCTGTTGTATTGAACTACACAGGCCAGCCTTCACTCCTCACCTGTATCATTAAGCTTTGGACACTCATGACCCTGTCGTCGTTTTTCCTTATGTATAGATTTCCTATATATACATACACACTCCCCACATATGACACTGACCCCCTCTTGGGAACTTAGAGGACCAACCTGTCATCATTTATTTACTTTTCACATATGACATGGACACCTTCCTAGGGTACTATAAGACCAGTCTAGTGTTACGTATACCTGACAGGTCACAATGTACGGCCTCATGGGGATGTATATGGCTATCCTGGGGTTATATATCACACTGACCCCCCCCCCGAATTCCTTTATGACTGCCCTAGTGTCATATATAATCACCTTACCTTAGTGTCATATATACACCCTTCACATATCACATTGATGCTGCCCTCCATATCACATATAAACCCCCCACATTTCACACTGACCTCCTTTCTGGGGTTCCTAAATGGGGGACCCTACTATTACAAACCACAACCTATCACATTGAACCCCGTGTTTCCATATTGGTAATCCTGGTGTTACATATAAACCCCCTATATATCACACTGTCTTCCTGGTGACAGTCTGAAATCTGACTTTGTTCCCAAATCCTCCACCCCTCTCTTACCACCATGCCCTGGTCTTTCTTCCATTGTGTGCAGACCTGGGGTGACACATTGCATCACCCGTCAGTGGGAGGGGATGCACCCTTCTGCCCTTCCTCTTTTGTTATTGATTCTGCATCTGACTTACAAGGAGTTAAAGCTTTCCTCTCCATCATGTGATCCTTTGGCCTGGGGTTGTCACTAGAACCCCCAGTTGTGTGTGCTGAGGAGGGGGGGCTGTTCCCGGCAGGGGTTTGCATATTCCGGAAGTGCAGTCTGCTTCTTGTTTATCTTCCAGTTTTGCCCATGGAGCTGTCTCCACCTTTATTTATCTCCAGGCCTGGAGTGTGTGAGATCGGCCAGCATCGGTGCTGCTTGTTAACCCCTTCCTGGGTAACAGAAGGACAAAGCAAATGAATGCATCTTTTCCAGTAAGAAGTACGCAGGTCTTACTGAGCCCTATAGGCCAAATGTGACGTTTATT